CAGCGTTGTAGAAATCGCATAGAAAGCCATATTAGCAGATTGAATATATTTCAATGACTGTTGCAGCTGTGAAAAAATATTGCTTCATATCTGCTTTGTTCATTTTATGAGTAACGTAGATTAACACTGGTACGGTGTTACTTACTAGACAATTTTTTTCAATTCTATTATTTGAATTGTATAAGATTTTGACATAATTTGATTTAATTATTTGAATCCTAATTATTCAATTATGGGAGCTGTTGTCCCATTGAATAGCCTAATTGCTATTATACATTGTACATATATTTTGGTTACATTAAAACTTTGAAATAGTTTCAAGCCCTCAGAGGTTTATATCCAACGCAGATGATAACTACATTCAGTAAATGGATATGTAAATGGATTGATCGAACTTTGTGCAATTGTGAATGTTGTTGCGGTTCCTGTTTTGCGGTCATCATCTTTGCGGGGCGATTGACGACAACAGAATGGAGTGAAAGATCTTAGTGGTTTCTATATTCATTAACCTTACTCAATACTAAAACTAAAATGTAACCTATAATATTTTATTTTTATCTGTGGTAGTTGTTGAGGCTATCATATAGCGAGAGAATTTCCTAAAACTGTTAAGAAAAATTGTCAAAAATCAAATTAATGTTAAACACTATATAATCTCCACTAGCTATTGTTTGTATGCATGTAGATATAACACAGGTTAGGTTAATTAGGATAACCAATAGCTCCATCCGTATAGCATGAATGGTGCTATTAGTATCTAGCGGTACTAGATAGAACTAAACTAGATTTTGTAGTAGACATTTTTGCGAATTTAAGAAGTTTTTGAAGCTTTATGAACCAGAGTCACAAATCATTTTTAACAGATTTCTTTTAAAGCCTGTTTTTAAAATAAACCAATCATAGCGGTAATTGAACCGTCTATGCATAAGTTCTAGTACACACACCCTATTATCAGCACGATCTCGTTTACATATATAAAACAAAGAAAATTTTAGTAAATTTTTGATGATTATTTTTGTCATAAATGTTATTTTAATTATTTTCTGTATTTTTTTATAGAATTTGTGGACATGCATTTGCGCAAACCCAGCAATTGGCTAGGCATATGAATACACACACGGGAAATCGTCCGTATAAATGTAATTATTGTCCAGCAGCATTTGCGGATCTTTCAACAAGAAATAAACATCATCGGTAAGTTTACAATATTATGTTTGTTATTTTCATAAAATCAAATTTAAAACAGCAAAAGAGTAGAATCAGTCAGTTTTGTAAACTATTCAAGTCTTCTATTTCGAAACTAAATGAGAGGTACTTAGCTGTAAAGGTGTATAATGTAAAACCGTTGAGAGAGAGAGAGAAGTGATAAAGTGGTAGTTACGGAGATCTGCCTTAGAGTGATTGCTGATTTGTTAACATCTCTGTTAATTCACCATTTCATACTTTGTATTCCTACATAATATTTTTATAATATAAAATTATTTGTGTAAAAAAAACAACAACACTAGCATGTACATAATAAATATTTTGAATAATTATGTAGAAGCTATTTGAGCACTTTTACTTACTTAAGCACTTTTACTCTTTCTTAACTCGAGGTATTTTTAAAACCCCTCTTTACGCCTTGACTGGATTATTGTTTATCACTTCATCAGACTAAGCAATAATTGACCTCAGAGGGGGTCATACCTTCTTGAGGAGCCTGTAACCATTTTGAGATTTGATAACGCGGTGTTGGTAAGTCTGTCGTTTTCGCAAATAATTTCAGGGCTCTATTCTTTATGTATTTTTTGATGGGATCAATTTTAAGATGTTATATATAATTTTTTTTTAAAATATTTTGATAAAAATATGCATTCATGCATTTAATGAATGTAAATATATTTAATATATAATATAATAATAATATATAATATTATGTATAATATTTTTTATTTGAATATATACTGAACATATATATATTTAATATATTTATACTATTTTTATTTGAACTCTATTTAGTATACATACCAATGAGCGTCCATATGTCTGTGATGTATGTGGTAAAGCTTTTACCTATACGAATACGTTAAAATTCCATAAAATGATACATACAGGCGAAAAACCGTTTGTGTAAGTATAATTACTTTACTATATCTTTTTTTTAATATATTATTATTAATGATTTGTATTTGAAACAGTTGTGACATTTGCGGAAAAGGTTTCCAACAAAGCTATAAATTGCGCAATCACAAAGTAACGCATGCTAAGAAAGGTGTTAGCATAAAAATTGAGAAAATTGAAGTCGATGATTTGACAGGGTATCAAGAGGATAAGGAAGCTACAAGCCAACTTCTGGGAATATAATTTTTTTTAAATAAATAATTTAGTACAATGTTTCTTTATATATATATTCGGTATAGTGTATATCAGTTAGTTTAAGCTTATCTTTGCAATACATAGTCCATATTTCTAAAATAGGTTTAGTTGGATTAATGCATGAATTTATCTGTTTCGGTCGACGTTTTATCGCTGCTGGCTCAGATAAAATTCTGACAACAACAATACAATATATAAATTAAAGAACAATATATATATATGTAAATTGATTAATAATATATACATAAATTAAAGAACAATATATATATATATAAATTGATTAATAATATATACATAAATTAAAGAATAATATATATATATATAAATTAATGAATAATATATATATAAATATATATTATATGTATAAATTATTAAACAATATATGTATATATATATAAAAATATATAAAAATTGATTATAAAAATATATATATAATATAAATTGATTAAATAATATATATATAAATTGATTAATAATATATATATATATAAATTGATTAATAATATATATATATATAAATTGATTAATAATATATATATATATAAATTGATTAATAATATATACATAAATTAAAGGATAATATATATATATAAATTAATGAATAATATATATATAAATATATATTATATGTATAAATTATTAAACAATATATGTATATATATATAAAAATATATATAAATTACTTAATTGCTTTAGTTATCATTCAAATGTATATTTTAAATTATATTTTAATTTGAAAAAGAAAAATTAAGTGCTCTAATCAATATAAAACTAAAAGCCAGAAAACGTTTTCTGACAAATTATGTAAATTTTATCTAATATTGTTATCATTTTTTTTTTTTGATTTTTATAGTTATAAATCTTTGAAATGAAATCTAAACTTTCATAATTATAAGAATATTTATTAATGTATTTAATATATACAAGAAGAAGCTGAAAATTTCAATTATTCTTATAGCGCTATATTGCTTTTCAATCTTTGTAATAAAATAGTTATTAACTAAAACCCAAAAACAATAAAAAATCACCAATAATTGATTAACTATTGTTTAATTATATGATCAATACTGTGTTGAGATTTAAATTACGTTCCTATAAATGCTTCAAATGTTGTTATCTTTTCAGAAATTCCAAAATCCTAACAAAAAAGTTTAAAATTGAACAACGGATATATCGTGCAGCTATGACTCGTTTGAGTAAAACATGTAAAGCTATTGCTTCTAATTTGGTAGGTTCATATGATACTTGGACAGTTTTATTTTCTAGTGAAGAGCACTGGTTTTATTTTTGCCTTATCACTCTATTCTTACCCACAGTTAGTCTTTGCCTTCGCAGCAAATTTCTGTACATGTAGGATGAGCTAATAGAACTTTCCCAAGATTTGACTGCCATTAGTTTATTCTTAATTTTTTTAATATGCGATAAATTCTAGTCATTTTAATTATAATCTTACCAAAGTCTTTCAGGTAGAAATGCAATACATTGAAATCTGAGCTGTGAAATGTCTCAAAAGACGACACAGAAGAATTATATATATTCGGAGTGTCATGCAACTATAAATTCTCTCCAATCGTCTACTTTTTATCTGAATTAGCTAAAACAAAGTAACATTTATTTGGATACTTGGATACGCAGATTTGAAAGTAATGATGTATACCAAGTTTGCAAGGTAGGATGCTTTAACACACTTCATAGAGCTCTAGCATTTTTTGGGTATTTCGACTATTTTGGGTATTTCATACTACATTATTACTTAAGAACATTGAATATGAATTGTTTTTAAACTAACTTGTTTACATTTCAACTAATGGAAGATGTAGAAGGATTAAGACAATCTAATCAATTCCCACAGTACAGTTAATGATATGCTGTCAGACTAATTAGACCGGGCAGAAGACATCTGGTAAATAGCATAGTGCAAAGGTTAGATCGTCATAAATCGGACATCAGCTATTTTACCTTTTATACCTTTTATTGCAATGAATGAGTTCTGAACTCTTGATATTGGCAGATAAAACAAAACTTTATTGAATTTAGTTTAGAAGACTTTTTCCTTTTTAATATTAATAACAACAGTTAACTTGCGGACTGCTTGCGGATTTACATACGCCATACCAGTGCAACATTCATCCTCAAAGAGTTTGTTATGACATAACGCTGTGAAATGTCATTGTCAGTTTTGCGGTTAAACATCTGGTTAATTAGAGAATCACCAAAAGTATATTTAGAATTGCTAAGAGCTTAAATTCTATAACTTTTTTGGCAACGCATATTCTTCTATATTTAAGGGCGTGCGCCAAACGTAAATTAGAAGTGCCATAAATCGAGGTTTGTAAAAATTGAGGTTTTAAAAGATTAACACCAAATTTTTATTTCAAGAGACATAAATAGCTTTTCTTTAGTAAACTTGCAATATGGCTTTATTGAGTCGCTCTTATTTAAAATCTAGCAATAAATTTTAGAATCTTAAAAAACTCATAACAATACATTACAAATTATTTTATATAAACATACTACAATGATTTATAAAATAAATCGTAAAATATTTTAAGAGATTTTTGAATAAACAGTTACGGTTTATTTGTCAGATATCATTGCGCAAAAGTTGAATTAAATAGGATAATCTTTAGGAAAGCAGTATGACAGGTCTATCATTCCGATTCAATCTAGAAGATTTTATCATATTAGCAAGAAGTCTAATCAGTGAATTTATATGGTTTTGATTTGAAAACCTTATTCCTTATTCTCTTGAGGTCGATTTTATCCATTGCAACTTCCAAATGAAATGTATGTTTTTATTTCTGTATACGAGGGCACACCAGTTACCATTATTAGAATCATTGTTTGAGCTCTTTGCAGGATTTCTATTGCCATATAGCTGTAAGTTGTTTATCCAGATTGATTTAATGCCTTGGTAGTTTCTATTATTTTGTAAATCAATCATCTCATCTTGTGTTTCTTAACTTACTTCCTCAACATTAATGCCAAAAGGTATCCAAAAAGCTTTTGGATACCCTGTGATTCACTTTTCGCATATTCCGATTAAATTCATCGCCTAGTACTTTCAGATGTATGCTAATGTTGTCGTATATATGCGTACTGATCATATCGTACTTTTGACTATCTAAAAGTGATTTTAATATGGAAAATGCAGGCAATTTTTTTCCGCCAACTTTTACTCTTCAAATGTTCAAATGTTTTACTCTTCAATGTTTGCAACGCCTTCTAAATTTCTGTTTCCGGAATCTTACAACTGAAAGTTTAAGTTGTTGTAATAAGCCCGTAGGGCTTCACGTTATTCAAGTTGGGCAGCTCTGGTACAATTTATAATGAATTTTATAAGTGGATTGGTACATTATATAGGCTATAAAATAGTTATATAATTACTTGAAAATTTTGTGTGCTTATAGTGTTTTCAAATGAGTGAGGTCTCAGTGGACAAACTTCAAGCTATGTATCCATACCTGATAAATTTGATTCGCGAACCATTTTTAACCACCGGTTGGGAACCACTCGTCTAAGGGTTATTTAATAGTTTATTCACATAAACTAAATTATTTTACTTGGTTTGACATTTTAAGGTAAATATAATATTGAATTCATGAAAATTTTTGTATCTTAACTACATTATTTTATATGACTGACATAAAAATATCTTGCAAAATTCATATCTTCCACAATTATATATTGTTTACTGATGAAAATAAAACAATTTCTTTTGGATCACGTACATTTGTACAGTTTATATATTTTATTTGGTAAATATATATAAATAATTTCCACATAAATACAATACATACATCACATTCATTTAAGTTTTATTTAAAGTAAACCAGATCATATTTTTTAACAGTATAATAACCGTAATATAACAGTTTCTATATATAGTATAAGTTTTGAAAATACATATTTTTAGTTGATACATATAAATTTAAATATCTACACACATATAAATATATTATTACAATTTATTATATTTTAAAACATTTATAAAGATTTTTCCCTCTAACATGATGAATATATAAATTTATATAAAGTAATTATATAAAGTAATATAAACAATTCTGAATTACAATATAGTGTAAGTAAAGTAAATATTTGGTTATATATATATTTATAGATTTTGGTCCCTCGCAAGGAGTACTATGTATATTGTATATTGTGTTACAGTAGTGAGCAAGAATTGTATAGTACATGCACTTTTTCTATTAATTACTTCAAGTAAAACATAATCTTTTTTTTTATCTTTTAAAGATATAAAAGATATAATCTTTTAAAGATTAGTTATTAATATTTATTTTAAATATTGGTTTGTTTCTTTCTTGGCATAATATTAGTTACTACTTAGTAGTTTAACAAGTAATCAATACTAGTTACCAAGTAATGCTCTTCGGGATTTTATTACTTAGTAAGAAATTTTGATTTTATTGACTCGAAATCAGTAGAAAATATATGTATAAGGGGTATTACCTCTGTCTTGGAAAGTCATTGCAAGGTGCATAAAATGCAAGAATGTTACACTAAAATTGCAAGAGTTCGAGAACACCCTTGTTGCAGAATTGCAAACTGAAACTGAAACAGCTGTTTTTGCAGCATATCACATCCACATAAAAAGCAACAGATGTCAAAACAGCTGTTTTTTTTCTTGTACGCATATATAGGTACATTGGTTTAGGTATAGCAAGATTACAAGCAATTGCATTTTGGATTTGTTACCCATTGCAATGTTACCCATTGCAGTGTTACCCATTGCAATGTTACCCATTGCAAGCTTGCGCACTCTGTGCATTTTTTGCACCTTACAATGAGCTTGCAAGACAGAGTGAATACTAATTTACTAATTTATTTAAAATAGTGGTGGTAGTTATGCATGCTTTGATGTAATTACATTACAATATTAAAGTAGTTACATTTAGATATGAAATTAATCTCACTAAAGTAATTAAAGCATTCAATTGATTAAATCATACTTGCTCGTAACTGTAGCCTTATCTTAGACTTAAAAATATCGCTGTAATGAAAACATTGTTTTAGTAATTTTGTGTTTTTTTATATGTGTATATAAAATTTTTGGTCATAAAGTAATTTTTAAAGTAACTTTTGTGCATCATAAATTTTATTTACTTTTAGAGATTTTAAACTAGAATTTCGGTTCCACATAATATTTCATATTATTGGTTTAAGAAAATATTTATTATCTTTACTTAAAGTTAATCGTTTGGA